AAAATACCAGATCATTCCTTGCTTGCCTCTTTTTCAGCTAGAAATGGTCATGTGATACAGCTTCAGGCAATAAGATGTATGGGTAAGTCTTCTTGGGAAAACCATCTTTCCTCAAAAAAGAAACATACATAGTCATTGAGAACTCTTTTATTTTCCCCCACCCTCCTTCATACCTGCCTTTGTAGGCAGTGGAAGGAGAGAGTGATATTTGAAACTGCAGCCACCTTGAGATGGAGGCAATAAACTGGAGAGTGGAAGCCAACATGCCAAAGATGGCAGGATGGAAAAGAAAGACAAACACAGCTGAGTTATTGAGCCAACCTTGGGACCCTGGTCCAGACTTGTTGGTAATAATAAATATTCTATGATTTAAATCGCCGTTGCTTGGAATTTCTACTGTGAGTCAGCACAGTCCTGAGCTTGCTCACGGAGCCAGCTGCCCAGTTCTTTCAATTTAGAGCCATGAAGGATGGGGAAGTGGAGGAGGGCATAGACTGATACTCAGCCTGGACACTGGCTTTGGGGCATCAGACATCACTGAAGCAGGTAGAGCAGATCACAAGCAGACTTTTTCTTACCCACATATGTGCCACTTCCTGAGGACTCCCAAAGTAACTGGAAGAGACTTTGAAAAAGAGCCCGAGGCCCTGTTCCCGCATGGAGGAGGGTGCTAATGATCCAGTGGCAGGTCATTGGTATCACTATGAGCTCATTTGTTCCCAAAGACATGGAGGCCGGTGACATTCATGATACAACACACATCATACTTTTTATTTTTAAAGTCAATTCCAGAGAGCACACAGGTCAGTCTATTCAGCAGACACAGCCTGCTAAAAGAAGTGTCTCCTTCTAAGCCAAGAGCTGAAAATACTTTCCATTGCAGATTGTAGAGTGTATGCAGGCCACTCGCATGTGAATAGGGTAAGAACATGCTCCATGGTATGGAAATGGATCAAAGCAGAGCAGGCCTGCAAAAGGCAGGATTGGGCCCAGAGCCTCACACACTGTTGGCCCAGAAATGCCTCTGTTCTGAATTGGAGGGAATTTTGAGGAGACGCCACTCTGCCTCTGCCTGTCTTTTGTCTCTGTTTATATAGTTTCAACTACTCAGATGGGCTTGGATCCCTTTTTCTATTAATCTGTTAGGCTGAGTCGTGGTCTACTCCAAAATGTCAGGAATAGAATGTTTTCCCAATCCTTATCCACTCTGGGTAGAGTAAGAATTTCCAAGTCAAAGTTCCCCTTTGTGAGATGGAGATTGGAACCTACACATTCTGTTTTTTATGCAACAATGATTTCAAAGTACATCATATAATTTCTAGATACACGGGTGGGAGATTAACAGGGCCTGTGTACCATTATAGCTCCGTGTGTACTGGCTTCATCATCCATTTGAGATTGAGAATTCCTTGAGAGAAGGGACAATTTCTTACCCATTTTTTGTGTTTCTGCTATTTCTAGCACGGAACAGTTGTTCTGAAAAGTTTTGCTAAATTGAATTGGAAAAAGAGAACTGAGGGCATCCTAGAATTGTATTATACTCCAACACACCTGCTTCTATCTAGGTAAGAAACAAATTTTAAATGTTGGAATTAAAAAATTTTTTTTTGCCAAAGCCGGTTTGGCTCAGTGGATAGAGCGTCGGCCTGCGGACTAAAGGGTCCCAGGTTCGATTCCGGTCAAGGGCATGTACCTGGGTTGCGGGTACATCCCCAGTAGGAGATGTGCAGGAGGCAGCTGATCAATGTTTCTCTCTCATCGATGTTCCTAACTCTCTGTCTCTCTCCCTTCCTCTCTGTAAAAAATCAATAAAATATATTTTTAAAAAAATTTTTTTGCTTGGGCATGCCTCCGAATCAAATCCAAACTTCAAAGTTGTTGTTTTGAAGACTGAAAATTATTCTCTTCTTAAAAAGTCATTTTTAAAGACTCTGTCTGTGCACTTTCATGTATGTTGCTACATTTATTTCATTCATTCCCTTGTCAATGGCACAGAGCATTCGTTTTATTATCTCAACTTTAACATTTCATTCATACTTATTGATGTTTTCATGCGAGGTACATTTGTTTCTCATAATATCCCCTCAGGTGGGTATTTTACTCTCTTGTTACTAATGAGGAAGCCAAAACCCTCTTGTGGGAAGGGACTCATAAAGCAGGAAGCGGCTTAGGCTGTTTTCTTACTCCAGGCACCATGCCTTTCTTCTGCTCCACAGCTTCATCTTCTTTCCCCTCTGTGATTTCTAACCTCAGCATAAGCATCCTTATCCTTTTAATGATTAATCACTTCACCTCTTTCAATCTCAAAAGAACTGTCTCCATCGTTTTCTTTCTTTTGATGTTGTTTAAAGTGAGGTTTGTGTTGGGAGATTCATGAATGGGTAGGGTGTTGTGATGAAGAAATGGTAAAAAGTTGAGATTCACTCATCTGCAAGTCTGAGAAATTTTGAGTTGTGGGAGAATGTTTATAGAGAAATCACATGTTGTGTAGAGAAATTGCATGTTGGGTAGAGTCTGTCATTAATTGTCTTTAAGTACTTTTTTTTTCCCTGCCTGCCTCTTTCCAAAATTGTTTTAATAAACCTGACCAAATAGGTTACTTGGAATCTTGCATTTCCCATTACACTATTCTGAGCAGTGGTGTTATGAATGTCAGGGCGTTGTGCATAAATGCCAGAGATCCAGTCCCTTTGAATTCCTATTGTTTACCTGCTCTGGTCCTTTTACCTGCTATTCAGAAGGTAGCCCTTGGACCAATAGGGTCACAATCTCCTGTGAGTTTCCAGAAATGCAGATTAGCAGATCCCACTAGAGGCCTATTGAATTAAAAAATCTGTGATTCCTAAGCACATTAAAGTTTAAAGTAGTTAGACTAGAGTTTTTGCAGCAACCTTGATCTGTTCTCTTGGAATCCAACCTTTGCTTTACTTAAAATATATGCATAAGTTAGGGAAATGTAAGTTAAAACTACAATGAGATATCACCTTCCACCTGTTACAGTGTCCATTATCAACAAGACAAGCAATAACTAGTGTTGGAGAGGTTGTGGAGAAAAGGGAACCCTCATTCACTGCTGGTGGAAATGTAGACTGATACAACCACTATGGAAAGCAGTCTGGCGATTCCTCAAAAAATTAAGAATAGAGCAACCACATGACCCAACAACCCCACTCCTGGGTATATAACAAAAAACACACCTCAAAATCATTTATATGCAAAGATATATGCACCCCTATGTTCATTGCAGCATTATTCACGGTGGCCAAGACATGGAAGCAGCCAAAGTGCCCTGTAATAGAGGACTGGATAAAGAAGATGTGGTGCATATACACAGTGGAATACTACTCAGTCATAAGAAAGGATGAAATAGCATCATTTATAACAACATGGATGGACATTATGCTAAGTGAAATGAGTCAGACAGAAAAAGCTAAGAACCATATGATTTTACTCATATGTGGGATATGAAACTGAAACTTATGAGCACAAAAAGCAGTGTGGTGGTTGCCAGGGCAGGGACAGGGGGAGGGAGAAGAAGAAGGGGTTCTAATATGAGGTGACAGAAGGCTTGACTTTGGGTGGTGGACACATGGTGCTATATACAGATTTTGTAACTTAGAAATCCACACATGAAACCTATATGTTCATGTTGACCAATGTCACCCCAACAAAATTTAATTAAAATATATTTGCATAAACACATTTGAAATAAATTTTTTGTTATTTTGACAATATTATTCTAGTTTGTGTATTATTCCATACGTCTTTTTCTAGTTGCCTTTGGTAATATCATTCAATTAGTTAAATCAGCTATTTCTAATTTTTCTAAAAATCTTTGATGTTTCCTTGAAGGCAAGAATCATGTTTTACTTTGTGGGCACACAGATTCCTGTATGCGAATGCTCAGTAAGTTGAAAGCGGAGTGAATTCTGAATAAGTGACTGAATAAATGAATACATGAAAGAAGAGGAATATAGATGGTATATTCCTTGAAGACGGGGATAATGTCTAAGTTATCCTTGAATTGCCAATGCTTCCCAGAAAACTTATCAATAAACACGTCCTGGCCCTAGCTGGTTTGGCTCAGTGGATAGGGCGTCGGCCTGCAGACTGAAGGGTCCCAGGTTGGATACTGGTCAAGGGCATGTACCTGGGTTGTGGGCACATCCCCAGTAGGGGGCGTGCAAGAGGCTGCTGAATCGATGTTTCTCTCTCATCGATGTTTCTAACTCTCTATCCCTCTCTCTCTCCCTTCCTCTCTGTAAAAAATCAATAAAAAATATATTTTTAAAAAACATAAACACGTCCTGGTTAAGTTGTTGGATGAGAAGACCTTGTTTGTTTATTCCTGGCATAAAACCACAGAGAATAGAAGCAGGAGAAATGCAAATAAGAGGGAGAGCTAAGTATAGTGCTAGACAGCTTTACAATTGTTACCTCAGCTAATCACAGCATCTGTGAACTGGGCATGTATTATTTTATTTAATTTTTTATATATATTTTATTGATTTTTTACAGAGAGAAAGGGAGAGGGATAGAGAGTTAGAAACATTGATGAGAGAGAAACATCAATTTAGCTTGTATTATTTTAGAGAGGCAGAAACTGAGTTCTGAAATTTAAGCACCTCGCCCAAGTTCACATAGCTAGGGTCAGAGCCCGATTATTCTTGCAAGTAATTTGCATGTCTTTGTGTGCACAGCCCCGTTTCTGCAGAGATGGAAAGGTGGGAGAGGAAGGATCCTTTATAATAAAACACAAGAATAAGCAACTCTCCGAGTTCCCCCTTGTGCCTCGGAGGCGCTGTGGCCCCGGAGGAAAGAGCTCGTCTCGCCTTTCAAACTCAGACTAAGCAGGAACAATGCAATGAAGATCTACCCTCTGGTGTCGTTTCTGCACTCGGAACGCAGGTGCTGGGGCCGTCAGGCGCGGAGGGGCACCAGAGAGGAACGGACGCACGCCGAGCGGTTGCCTGGTAACGCCCGCTGAGGCGTCCCAGCGTAATAAGGTCCGGGAGAAGTGTCACTAGCCTTGAGCGGGACCCCATAGCCCGTTGTCTCCGCGCCCGCGGCCTGTCCCCGCCGCCTGGCGGGCTAGGGCAGGGGAAATGTGGCAGGAGGAGTCGGATCTGTCTCTCAGTATCGCTCAGATAGTCCAAAAACTCAAGGGCTCCAGTTTGTACTCTCAGCTGGAACGTCAGGCCTGGGTAAGTGAGGCGGGCGGGAAGGGATGGGGCCGGGGCTGCGGCGACGCCTCCCGGTCTGTGGGAGCCCCTCGGACCCCGGCTAGAGCCGCCTCTGGTCTCTGCAGCTCCGCTCCTGTGCGCGGAAAACCCTCTCTTCCAGGTCCCCACGCTCAGCCTCGCGCGTGGGGTAATAGGTTTTTGAAGGAGGGTGGGGCGCATCATGCCTTCCTTAGGACATGGAATCGCTAAACCTATTTATTCATCGTATCGTCCTTTACAGGGTCTAATATTTTAAACTGCTGGAGTCACCTTAGGTCTTTGGACCACGCCTTCCCTCACTTTTTCTTTTCTAAATGTGGGGGTTTTGCCTTAGCATCACTCACCTCCTTGCCTCTACCCTCCCTGCAGTCATCCTCCTTCTACCCATCCACCCCGCATTTATTGAGGATTTTCCCAATGTGCTGCGTTCTTTGATACAGAGATTGATTAAGAGATCTTTGTGTATGTGTGAATGCCATGTAAATGGAGTTATACAGTATGTATATTTTTGTGCCTGGTTTCTGTCATTTAGAATCATGCTTTTGTGACTCATTCATGTTGTTGGCATTTCAGTAGTTCAGTTTCTTTTGGGAAAAAAATTGTTTTTAATTTTCAATGACAGTTGACATACAGTATTATTTACATATATAAAAGCCTAATATGCAAAGTGTCCCCTCAGGAGTTGGACCCACTGGGAGTTTGATGGCTTCTGATAAGGTGCGCAGAAGGAAGGAAGGCCCGGCTGGCAGCCGCTAGGTACCCTACCTGTGCCCAAATTTTGTGCACTGGGCCTCTAGTATTAGTATAAGGTGTACAGCATAGTGATTAGATATCTGTATACCCCGATAGGTCTGGTTCCCATATATGTTATGTTCCTTTTTATTGCTGAGTAATATTTCATTGTTTGGATAGACTATGATTTGTTTATCCGTTCATTGATTGCTGGGCATCCTTGGTTATGAAGTTATATGGGTTGTTTCCGGTTATAAAGATTATAAATAAATCTGATACAAACATTCTGGTATAGGGTTTTGTTTGAATATTTTCTTTTCTCTTGGATAAATACCTAGGAGTAGAATTGCTAAGTTGTATGATAAGTATATGTTTAATTCTATAAGAATCTGCCAGACTTTTCCAAAGTGGCTGTAGCATTTTACATTTCCACCAGCAATTATGAGAGTTTCAGTTGCTCTGCATCCTTGCTAATACTGATGTCAGTTTTTTATTAATTAATTTTTATTTATTAATTACAATGTTCTGGTAGGAGAGTAATGATATCCCATTGAGACTTTAATTGCCTTTCCTAATACCAGTGATATCAAGCATGTTATCATGCTTATATCTTCTTTGGTGAACTAGTCTGTTCAGATCCTTTGCCCATTAAAAAAATAGTTTGTTCTCTCATTGTTGAATTGTAAGGATTCTTTCTATAAAGGACACAAGTCCTTTATCAGATACTCCTCTTGCAAATATTTTCTCCCAGTCTGTGGCTTATCTTTTCATTTTCTTAACTGGGTCTTTCAAATAGCAAAACATTTAAATTTTGATGACATACGTTTTTATCAATTTCTTTTATGATTTGTCCTTTTTATGCCTTACCTAAGAATCTTTTCCTGTTTTGTTGTAGCAGTTTTATAGAGCAGTTTGGGGAGAATTGACCTCTTAACAATATTGAATTTTCTGGCCCATGAATACACTTTATCTCTTCATTTATTTATATCTTTATTTTCTATTGTTAGTGATTTTACAGTTCAATATACAAATCTTGCACGTATTTTAAGATTTTCCCCTAAGTATTTTTATGCCATTATAAATGCTGATGTTTTTTTCTCATTTCAGTTTCCAATTGCTTCTTGTTAGTATGTAGAAATACAATAGATATGTGTCTATTTGCCATGTATCCTGCAGCCTTACTAAACTTATTTATTATAGTTCCTCTTTTGTATATTGCTATGATTTTTCAAATACATATTTCATATGTGAATAAAGACAGTTTTCCTTTTCAATATATATGTTTTTTATTTTTCTTGCCTTGTTATACTGGCTACTGCTTCCAGTACAGTGCTGTATAGATACTTTTTATTAGGTTGAAGAAACTCTTTCTTATTCCTGTTTTTCTGAGAGTTTTATTATGAATGGATGTTGAATTTTGTTAAGTACCTTTCTTGTACATGTAGAGATTCTCAATGTGATTTTTATTTTTAATATGTTAATATGGTGAACAACACTGATTGTTTTTGCATTCCAGAGATCAATTTCACTTGGTTACAAAACAGTATTATTATTTTTATATATATCTTGATTTAATTTCCTAATATTTCATTGAAGATGTGAATATTTTTATAAGAATATTGGTTTGTAGTTTTTATTTTAACATCTTCGTCTAGTTTTGCTATTAGTTAATGCTGAACTCAGAAATCCAGTTGGGCAGTGTTCCCTTCTCTCCTATTTTCTGGAAGAATTTGTGTAGAATTAATATTATTTCTTCCTTAAATGACTGGTAGAATTCCGGGTAAAGTCATTAGGGCCTGGAATTTTCTTTGTGGGAACATTTTTAATAAAAAATCTAATTTTTAAAATATATGCAGGGCTATTTGGGCTATTTCTCTGGTTGAATGTGTACTTGAAAGGCATTAGTGTTCTGCTCTTACTTTTCTATAAATGTCAATGAGGTCACATAGACCATTTTGTTCAAGTGTTCTGTACCTTACTGGGAAGAGGCTTCAGTCAACACTGTCAGAAGTTTTATTATCACTGCCATTAGCTTCAGTTGTACCACAGGCTTCAGATTTGGTGGGCTGCTATACACTTTGTCCTTAGAAAGGATTATGGGGGCATTGGAGGGGTTTTCTGTGTTTCTATGACCCTGTCCCTGCTTGCCTGTGCACAGAGGGAGCCTCTCTCCATGCTCTTATCCCTTCCTCGGCAGTAGTCTGCCGTTTGTTACCCTCCTGAGCTCACGGTCGGTACAGGTGTCCTAATTCTCCGGGCCTTGGCCCGGTCCATGTGCGTTGGGGTAGGTCTTTCTCAGTGTGCCTTCCTCTTCTCCCTGTGTAGCCAAACTCTGCCTTGTATCCGTGGCAGGTCATGGGTGACAGAGAGATCCCTGCCCCTCCCTAGTGCTGGCTGACCTCTGCTTCAGCCTGGTGTGGGGTCCTGGGCCCAAAGGCTCCCTTACCTTTCCGTGAGGAAGATGGTTTTTGCATCTGCCTTACTCCCAGAAGCAGTGAATTATCGCCTTGTCTTCAGAGTGGTTTTGGTTTCTGAATTTTCCCCTAGAGGTTTAAGGCGTTTTCCTCACATGAGAGGAGAGTTTGGGCAAGGTAGCATGGTTTCATGCTTGTTCTGCAGTGGCAGCCTGTCCCTTCCTGCACACCTGTGCCACCGAAGGGGGCTCTCTGCAGCTCCATGCTCTGCCCTCTGTCTTTCGTGTGGACACCTGGTGTAGACCCATGGGAAAGAGCATGCAAGGGAGTGTGACTCCTCCTTGAATTCTGAGCTCCCAGTTATTCTACACTGACATGCTAGCCCACCTCTCATCTGTCATGGCTGATTTCTTAGCCAAATTCTTCTTTCTCGCTTCTGTAGGGTAGCCTTCTTTTCCTCCTGTTCTCTGTCAAACATTTAGGGTCCCCTCTGTCCTTGGAGGGGCTTGTTACTCTTTGGAATTTAGTTCACTGGATAGTCTTACATCTTCAATTTTCTGGTGGGTTCAAAAATTATGATTTTGTAGATTATACCACTTTTTCTCATTTGGCAGGATGGGAGCGACACATCTTGTACTGGCTTTCTACATGCTATGCATTATCAAAACTCTATTAGTAAGTGTTTAAAGATTGCATCTATGCCCACGAGAAAGATTGGTCTGTAATTTTCCTTTTTAGTAATGTCTTTGACAAGTGTTATATCAAGGTTATGCTGGCCTGATAAAATGAATAGGAAAGTGTTCCCTCTTTTTTTTTATTTTCTATTTGCTGAAAGGTTGTTATGAGGTTGTTGTGGTGTGTATGTGTTTTTTTTTCCTTAAATGCTTGGAAGAATTCTCCAGTGAAGCCTGTGTCTCAGGCTTCATTTTCTTTGGGGAGGTTTATTTTTCTATTAGTAGACTTTATTATTTAGAATAGTTTTAGGTTTACAGAAAAAATTGAGCAGGAGGTACAGAGTTCCCACACATCCCCTTTCCCCTTGAGCAGTTTCCCCTGTTATTAACATCTTGTGTAATGTGGTACATTTGTTGCAATTAGTGAACCAATCTTGATACATTATTGTTAAAGTCCTTAGTTTACATCAGGGTTCACTTTTTATGTTGTATAGTTCTGTGGGTTTTGACAAATGTATAATGTCATGTGTCCACTATTCCATTGTCTTACAGAATAGTTTCACTGTCTGAAAAGCTTCTATGCTCCCACCTACTCATTCCTCTCTTTCCCTAAGACTCTGGCAACCAGTGATTTCTTTTTTTACTGTCACTATAGTTTTGCCTTTAAGAATGTCATATACTTGGGGTCATACAGTATGTAGCTTTTCCAAACTGGCTTCTTTCACTTAGTAATATACATTAAGTTCTTCTATGTGGGTGTTTTTTTGTTTTGTTTTTTTGCTGAATAATATTTTTTTGTGTGGATGTATCAGATTGCTTATAAGTTCACCTATGGAAGGATGTCAATTGCTTCCAAGTTTTGGCAGTTATGAAGACAACTGCTATAAACATTCCTGTGTAGATTTTTTTTTAAATCAACATACATTTTCAACTTAGTTGGGAAAATACCAAGGGGGTGGTTGCTGGATTATATGGCTAAGACTGTGATTAACTTCATCAGAAGCTGACAATGTGTCTTCCAATGTGGCTGTACCATTTTGCATTCCCAGCAATGAATGAGCATTTCTGTTACTCCACATCCTCACCGCATTTGCTGTTTTAGATTTTAGCTATTCTAATAGGTATGTTGTAATATCTCACTGTTGTTTTAATTTGAAATTTC